CACACTGTATATAACTGAGGTTACGTTTGTCTGTCGAGAATAGAGGTCGCGTTAAACTGTCTAGAACTGAAGTGACGTTTAGCTTTCTAGAATTAAGGTGATGTTTATCTGTACAGAACTGAGGTGACGTTTGTCTATAGAGAACTGAGGTCGCGTTAAACTGTCTAGAACTGAGATGACGTTTAGCTTTCGAGAACTGTGGTGATCTTTATCAGTCCAGAACTGAGGTGACCTTTTAATTATCTGTCTAGAACTGAGGTGACCTGTATCTGTCTAGAAATGAGGTGATGTTTATCTGTCGAGAACTGAGGTCGCGTCAAACTGTCTAGAACTGAGTTAACGTTTATCTGTCTTGAACTGAGGTGACGTTTATCTGTCTAGTACTGAGGTTACGTTTATCTGTCTAGAACTGAGGTGACGTTTATCTGTCTAGAAATGAATTGACGTTTATCTGTCTAGTACTGAGGTAACGTTTATCTGTCTAGAACTGAAGTAACGTTATCGGTCTAGAACTGAGATGACGTTTAACTGTCGAGAACTGAGGTGACCTTTATCTGTCTAGAACTGAGGTAAAGTTTATCTGTCTAGAACTGAGGTGACCTTTATCTGTCGACCACAGAGGTGACCTTATCTATCTAGAACTGAGGTGACGTTTATTAGTCGAGAACTGAAGTGACATTTAGCTATCTAGACCTGAGGTGGCGTTTATCTGTCGAGATCTGAGTTGACGTTTATCTGCCGAGAACGTAGGTGCCCTTTATCTGTCTAGAACTGAGGTGACGTTTATCTGTCGAGAACTGAGGTGACGTTTATCTGTCTAGAACTGATGTAACATTTATCTGTCAAGAACTGAGGTGACGTTTATCTGTCCAGGACTTAGGTGACGTTTATCTGGCTAGAGCTGAGTTAACGTTTATCTGTCTTGAACTGAGGTGACGTTTATCTGTCTAGAGCAGAGGTCGCATTTAACTGTCTAGAACTGAGTTGACGTTTATCTGTCTAGAACATATGTGCCCTTTGTCTGTCTAGAACTTAGATGACGTTTATCTGGCTAGAACTGAGGTAACGTTTATCTGTCTAGAAATGAAGTAACGTTTATCTGTCTAGAACTGAGTTGACGTTTATCTGTCTAGACTGAGGTAACGTTTATCTGTCGAGAACTGAGGTGACATTTATCTGTCTAGTACTGAGGTTACGTTTATCTGTCTAGAACTGAGGTGACGTTTATCTGTCTAGAAATGAAGTGACGTTTATCTGTCTAGTACTGAGGTAACGTTTATCTGTCTAGAACTGAAGTAACGTTATCTGTCTAGAACTGAGATGACGTTTAACTGTCGAGAACTGAGATGACCTTTATCTGTCTAGAACTGAGGTAAAGTTTATCTGTCTAGAACTGAGGTGACCTTTATCTGTCGACCACTGAGGTGACCTTATCTATCTAGAACTGAGGTGACGTTTATTAGTCGAGAACTGAAGTGACATTATGCTATCTAGACCTGAGGTGGCGTTTATCTGTCGAGATCTGAGTTGACGTTTATCTGCCGAGAACGTAGGTGCCCTTTATCTGTCTAGAACTGAGGTGACGTTTATCTGTCGAGAACTGAGGTGACGTTTATCTGTCTAGAACTGATGTAACATTTATCTGTCAAGAACTGAGGTGACGTTTATCTGTCCAGGACTTAGGTGACGTTTATCTGGCTAGAGCTGAGTTAACATTTATCTGTAAAGAACTGGGGTGACGTTTATCTGTCAAGAACTGAGGTCGCGTCAAACTGTCTAGAACTGAGGTGACGTTTATCTGTCAAGAACTGAGATGACGTTTATCTGCCAAGAACTGAGGTGGTCTTTATCTGTCATGAACTGAGGTGGCGTTTATCTCTCAAGAACTGAGGTGATGTTTATCTGTCAAGAACTAAGGTGACGTTTATCTGTCTAGAACTGAGGTGACGTTAAACTGGAATCCGCTTGTATTTACGCTATGCTTATTGATGTAGAAATTGTTAGTTTATACATTGTTAATACCTTTCACGAAGGAACACAGGGACAGTCTGTCCACCATCAACCCGGGTTCTCAAATGCAAGAGTAACCAATGACGGTCATCACGCATATTCTGTGTTCACTAACTATGTAATATGTTTCCACTATACTACTAACAGTCATGTCGCCACTAACACAATCGTAATGATGTTCACATAAAAGTTCTCCTTCTGATGGATATTTCTCACACACCTTTAACCATAAAAAACAGCGTAAATGGGTTCTTTTAAAATTACAATTGTTATATATTGAAAATAAAGACAAATGTAAAGAAATTTAGGCTATTTAAGAATACATGCAGCTACAGGAAGATAAACGAAATCGAAATGCTTAATCGAACTGAAGTATTTGGGAAACGTATGCACCAAGCGTGAGATTTGCTACATAAACTGCCAAATAAGGGAACTATGTGTTTTAATATTCTACACCAACGTATCGCGTTCATCAAAGTGTTCAGAAAAAGGAAGTGCCAATCTTATTCCGATAATGTTGAAACTGAAACAGTCTTGATTTTTTGGTATAAAAAGATATTTATTTATTAAAAACAAAGTTGGCAATAGAGGATATGCTATCCCTATTCAAGTTGTTCACTGATTGAGACATAAAAAGAATGGAATACACCGTAAAATAACTGCAAAATTTGAACACCATGCTGACCGGGATATAGTTCTTGAAGGCTGACAGTACAGTATTTTATAACAATATCCGCATGAAATCATCGAGTGCCTCGATGTTGTTTCGCTAATGTTTAAAGACTGAACAAAGAATGGGAAGTGAAGTAGGTTTTAATGGTGTCAAACTTTACGTGAATGGAACTTCGGAATCCAAATATCAGGCGATCTAAAATGGAAAACACATAAACATATATCAAACACCAGTAAAAAGCAAGTTCAATCATTTGTTTCCTCAGACGTAATCGCCAACATTGCCCAAAGGAAAGCAGGAAAAACGCATACATATCCTTAGTATAAGATCAATCATTGAACATGGAGATTTTATATGGGACCAATACGCAGAGGAGGAGACATACCAATTATAGAAAGAATACAAGACATACAAAGAAGGGCAGTAATTTATTAACAGAGACTACAAATCAAGAGATGACGGATGCATCACAAAAATAAAAAAAGACCCAGAAATATCACCCCTAGACGATGGAGGGTAAAAACAGACGCAAATATTTTTCTACAGAGTGGTTACTATCGCCTTCCGACCACAAAATTCCAACTCCAATGATAACGTCAAATTGATTAGAAAAGGTTTAAAGACTGTATAACAAAAAAATGAATACAAAAACAGTTAAAATCCAGCATTCATCCACCGACCAATATATAGGAATTCATTTTTATCAGAACTACTATCAACTACAGCAGAGACATATATCATACGTATATATACGTTGTATATATGTCTTTGACTGGAGCAACCTCGAGACCGCATGAATAACATATGACAACAATGTCAACGGAAGGCTTCAAATACAGATTACCGAAATATTTCAACACCAAAGGACAATCGAATCATTGGGTTGTCAATAAACTAAAATGATAAGCATGTTACAACAAATAACGCAAAAATACAACTAAGGCAAACAATAAAATAAATCATGAAACTAGACAAAGTGATGCCCCCGCACTCCACTCTGAAGTAACTGTATCATACCAAAGTCAATGTAGAACATTCTTTGAGATATTATTGTGTCTGGAGACACAAATGATGCCCCGCAGATGCAAAGTGATACTTTAAAATACACAAAGTTGAGCATGGGAGCACATAGGTCTATGGTTCACTGCAGGAGGAGTTATCCGGAAACGCAATGCACCTATTATGCAAGTATATACTCCAAAAATGACAAAGTTCAACTATCTCCCAAAAGAGCAAATATACATAAAAATCAAAACCCTGACCACATGCACACCTTCAATATATGTACAAAGAGCCAGAAAAATGAAAACTTCCTTGCATTCAAACTGTAGTAGGAGTTATCCGGAAACACTATGCACCTCTTATGCAAGTAAATACTCCAAAACATACAAAGTTCAACTATCTCCCAAAAGAGCAAATATTAATAAAAAATCAAAACCCTGACCACATGCGCACCTTCAATATATGTAAAAAGAGCCAGCAAAGTGAAAACTTCCTAGCATTCAAACTGTAGGAGGAGTTATGCGGAAATGATATGAACCTCTTATGTAAGTATATACTCCAAACATGACAAAGTTCAACTATCTCCCAAAAAAGCAAATATTAATAAAAATCAAAACCCTGACCACATGCACACCTCCAATATATGTAAAAAGAGCCAGTAAAGTGAAAACTTCGTAGCATTCAAACTGTAGGAGGAGTTATCTGGAATAACTATATACCCATAATTCACGGGACGGACGGACGGAAGGACAGACGGGAGGACGGACAGACGGACGGACTGACGGACAGCGTTAAAACAATATGCCCCCCAAATTTCAGTTGCGGAGGCATAAAACACAGATCAAGTACTATATACTTCTTTGAGACTACTATAACACATCTCAGGCCTACTGTTTTTTTTTTGTTTTTTTTTCTTCATTTTGACTGTTTTATATAATATAGATCAGTAGTTTTTTCCCGACAGATCATTAAAATTCAGTTCATAGTTTTGCATTCAAGAAAATAAATCTCTCTTTTTAATTCTATGCGACTGTCAAACAAGCATACAAGTGAGAGGTTTAGCTAGCTATAAAACCAGGTTCAATCCATCATTCTCTACATAAGGAAATGCCTGTACCAAGTCAGGAATATGGCAGTTGTTTTCCATTCGTTAAATGTGTTTGAGCTTTTGATTTTGCCATTTTATAAAGGAATTTCCGTTTTGAATTTCCCTTGGAGTTCGGGATTTTTGTTATTTTACTTTTTACCATTTAATAAATTACAAAAAGAACTTTGAAATTTTCCCACCTAGTAAGTACAGTAATCACGTGATACGATGGTTGTCAAAATGGCGGCTGGTCTGCCAAGATCTGGGCTGTTCGAAGTATATATTCGACAGCAATGGTGCAGAGTTTACGTTACTTTAAATGAAGATTCGTTGACTTTAACACTTGATGAAAATCCAGAGTTAGCAAATAGCACTCTTGGGTCATCAGATGCATCTAGCACACTTCCTAAAACGGACCAGTTACCAGACAGTCTTGCCGGCCAGAAACGTCTTGTGCGAGTTGTTAAAGAGGAACAGAATGGCCTTGGAATTAGTATTAAAGGTGGAAAAGAGAATAAAATGCCAATTTTGATCAGTAAAATCTTCAAAGGAATGGCGGCAGACAAAACTGAAAAGCTTTATGTAGGGGATGCAATTTTGTCTGTAAATGGTGAAGACCTAAGGGAAGCAACTCATGATGATGCTGTAAAAGCATTGAAAAAGGCAAAAAAAGTTGTAGATATAGAAGGTAACCACGATATCATCTTATATTCTCATAATGTATTCAAGAATCACATATATTTATGTAGAAAGGGAATATTCAGATGCAAAAATTGTAAAATGTAAAGAAAAAAAGTAATTTTAGATAAATTAAAAATTATCACTGTCAATTTTTTGTCAGAATATGGTCATCTAACTCCTAATAATTAGGAGCACCCCCCCACCTTCCCCCCTCCCCAACAAAAAAAAACAACCACCAAATCCTGGATCTGCGAAAGATATCTTTGGTGATTGTTTTAATTTGGACATACATGTACAATTGACATAGGCACTTTTGTAATTGTTAATTTTGAAATTCATAGTCTAAAGCTGGACGAATAAAAAAAACCTTACTATACCCAGAAGTGTAGACCCTCTTCTAATTCAGGGAAGTCTATACTTTTTGCCGTTTCTATTACACTTTTCTGCAGAATAATTAATCTTAAGACTAGTGAATAATTCATATATAGTAGAATAAAAATGGCCAACAGTATAGCCATTCGTCATGTTAGTGAATTAAGAAGGGGAAAAAAGGAAAATGGAACAAAATATACTGTCATTTATTTCAACAAACAATCCAAGACATGTGGAAATGTTCAAATACATTTTTGAAAACTTTACACATTATTTATTTGGACCTATTCATACACAATTTGAATATGTCTCCTGCTTCTTAAGAGCCATTAAATCAATTGTAAATTCACTGTATCTGTTAAGCCATGGACACATAAATATCTCATAAGATTTGAAACTGATTAGAGAAAAATTACATTGATGGATTGACATTTTAGTGATAATTTGTGGTGTTTGATTATTTATTTTATTTCTGAATCAATTTTGTGCAATTTCATTATTTTCCCCTTTTACATACATGTCATGCATGTACAGTATTTCTATACATTTGTACAATTATGTCATTTGTATGTAGACTTAATCCAGTTACCACTCCATTTAAAAAGGAGTAGAGTTTGCCTAACAAGCAAACCATGCTCTTCAACTTCGTACTTTATTTGGCTGTTTTAACTTTTTTGATTTGAGCATCACTGATCATTGCTGGTGAGTCTTTTGTAGACGAAACATGAATCTGTCGTACAAAAATTTGAATCCTGGTATCTATTATGAGATTATTTACATAGTTTTAAATATTGCATTGTTAAGATTGTTGTTAACATGTAAATTTAAAATCACAATCATGACAATGATAAGATACTGACAGGTGTATTGTAAGGATCTTCATAGATTATTTAACAAGTTTAAGAAGATACAAGTATATGTACGTTAATGGTTTGATCATGTTGGTTATCAGTCAAATGTAATCATGGTGATGTTACTGTTTCAATGTTAGCTTATCATCATGCTTAAATTTTTTTATATTTCATTCATATGTCATGTATGTTGCCTATGAGAAAATAGGCAGATGTACATGTACAATGTATATGGTTAGAACAGAATTGTTCTTATCTTACATTGGTATACATGTTCACTCGTCAGAGCTCAGACATAAATAAGTCTTATTTTGCTTTTGACTGACACTTGTAGTGGTCTAAATTTGTACATGTTGTATGTTTCATGGGTTCTTTATTTCACATCAAAATATGACTTCAGCACGTCAATGTTGGGCAAAAAATATTTGACCTGTATCAACATGCTTATCAATGACTTCTTCAAGTCGAAGTTACCAAAATTGGTTAACTTCAAGACCCATTTACAAATTTATAAAAAGGTCAAGTACATGTCATGTATCTACATGAAGTTGAGACAACATTGTTAAGCAATGCTTTGTCTTCTGAAGAAAAATATCAGTTTGATACTAAAAAAGTAGAGACAATGTTCATTCACTTTCTGAACCTGGGATTTTTTTTACCTTTTTAATTTCCCTATTTTTTCATAGTATTTTTATGGTAGTACAAAATGTACATGTATGCATGTATAACATGTGTATACAGCTACATATTATAAATGTATGTGTGTATTTGTTTAGTCTAAAATAGTTTGTTTTTCTGTTTCAGTGAAGTATATAAGAGAAGTTAGTCCATATTTTAGAAAGACATCTGCATTGAATGACTTAGGTTGGGGTGGTCAGGAAGCACAGAGAGATGCTGCAAGGGCAAACTGGAATGAATCCAAGACAATCCCATTGAAATTATGTTATTTATGTAGAAATCTTAGTATGTCCGATCCTGAAAGAAAAACTTTAGAACTCAATTCCCCTGATGGGAAAAGTTCCTGTGTATTAAGGTTTCCTGATCCGGGAACAGCCTCAGAATGGTTCAATCTAATCCATGCTAATGTAGCTATTTTGATGAGACAATGTATAGAAGAAGCAAACCATATAATGAGTTCAGCTCCTAATTCGGGGGAGATAAAACATATTGGATGGTTATCTGAGCAGGTGAGTTCGCAAAAGGTTTTCAACATAAAAGAATTACTAATCTTTGTGTTTTGAATATATTGTTAAAGGAATTTTGTGATACTTGGAATATTTCTATGTTTTTTTGGGAAAAGGGAGTCTAAATTATTGTAGTCATTAGAAATATATCTTAATTTTGATATTATTTTCCAAGGATATTAGCTAGATATGAAAATTAAAGACATGATAGAGTTTTTTTTAAACCTATTTGACAATATGAACAAACAGGGATATATAGGGTATATACTATATAAGTATGTCAATTAAGACTGCAACACAGACACAAAAACACAAGAAGACAACATAGAGAGGTCAACATACAGTGTTGATTAATTGTTATAGATACATGATGCAATTCATGTATATATGTTTATGTAGAGCTTTAAGTCAGCTGGGTATGGAATAGTTATATAAAGGAGACTGTACAGGGAACAAATCTAATCAATCTATGATAAGAAGTACAGTAAGTTCAATGCATAGCAAAATTGTTTTGATTTTTATATTTATCTCAATATACCTTTTACCCAGACCTAAGAATTTAAGGCATTTAGTATGTGTTAATACATTGTACTTAAAGCCAAATTCACATGTTAGTTATGCATCAATTACCACAACGAATTACAGCAGGATCCTACATTGTATTTCATGTATTGGTGGATTCGGGTTGTGGCATAAAGGGCTGATGCTCCACCCTTTTTTCCTCCATTATTAACAATTATGCCCTCCTTTACTTCTTTACTTGAACAATGGATCAGCCTTTTTCATGCCCTTGGACAGTGAAATTGTTTGCATTCATTTGACTAACAGATTATAATCCAAACTGTAACAAGATATACACCAAAACCAACAATACTGGTAGTTTTGTAAACTAACCCAGCTATTTACCAACTTATCAAATGCATCATTTAGAAAAGATTGTTGTTATTATCTGCTAGCTACTGGCTATGGGTACATGTAAAATGGAAATTGCAGCTATTTTACATGCATGATTTACAAATACTTAAGTATTTATACATATACAATTTTAGGTCAATGTCAGAAAAATATCAACTTCTTTGTATGAGGCTTAGAAACTGGGGAAGGGTAAGTTTACCGAGCTCTTTTCCAGTTTTGTGCTGAATACAAAAAAGTTGATATTTATTTAACATTAACCTAATATTGTTTTTATACTGCAGCTAAAAATGGCTACAATCATGACAATCATAAAAATGTTACAACAAGAATAAAACGCATTTTTCATCCTTAAACAACCCCAAATTGTGAAGAAAAGTGATGTGGCATGAAATCAACATTGCACGAAATATCAATTTGTTGCTATATTTGGTAGATAAAGACAACAAGAAATGTTCAACAAGAAGTGTTCAAGCTGCAATATAAATTATTTTTATATAGCATATAATATTTCATTATCAATTACAATGTAATAATATGTCGCTTTATTATTTTTAAAATTTAGCATGTTTAGATTTACTACTATATACATATTCATTACAAAAAGTTGATACCAATTTTTATTGTATATGTTTCATCAGATATAAAATTTTAAACGAATGTCATATACATCTTCTTTTATTTATCTGGGTTAATGATACATTTATGAAAATAATTGTGGTTTAAACTGTACATGATGTTATAGTTGAAACTCCTACTGACTAGTCAGGGATTAAAAATTTACTGATAATTGCTTCAGGCTAATGAGTTATTACATGTATATATGTATTTACACACATGCAGCATGACACACATTTTGTGACTGATTAAAAAAGATTAAAAGTACTCAAGATGCCATGAATACTTATATACAATATTAGTTTCTGGATCTACATTGTACATGTAGGATTTATTGACTTTCTTATTAAAGGTCTTTCACTTAAAAATTCTAAAGATCCTGGACCTTTCATTCAATTCTGTAAAGCTAAAGAGTTGCAAGATTGGAGCCTTGTATATTTGGCCACTGAAATTGCAAAAATATTAAAATTACTCAATATGAAATTAGAAGATGTGGTATGTCAAGTCTTTTAATTATGTTTATTTAATTGATAAATGAACCGGTTTATAATCTGGACATTTTAGTGCAGAAAGGTCATCTGTGATGTCATAAACATTGAAATTGATAAACTTGGCCTGAAATGGTCATTTTACAATCCTTATAAAGTACATCTTGAAGCAATATAAAAGAACATTGTATTTTTATATGAATTTAGATTTAGTTTCATCACTCTTTTAAGTTATCAAATGAGCAAGGTACTCCCACCTGGAAACCTGTATTCTTAGCTGTAACAGATAAAGATTTAATGATGTATGATACAGCCCCATGGAGTAAAGAAGAATGGGCCACACCATTTCAAAGTCATCCATTACTTGCTACAAGGTTTGCAACAACATAAAAATGTATTTCTGTTTTGATAAAAAAAACCAAAAAAAACTTACAAACAGGGCTGACAGTACAAATAATGATTTTGTACATATGTAGTCTATAAGGAAAGGAGAAGGTATATGTTGAGAGCTAATTTTGGGTCCCTGAAATAAAAAAAAATATTCAAATTCTTCAATCCTTTCAAAAGTATGTAATTTTATTGGAAATAAAAAGGATGATATTATTTGGACAACCTAGTGCAGAATTGTCAAAATGATTGACATGTTTGGCCTTAAATAGTCATTTTACGCACATATTAGGGGCCAATTAGATATGAGCTAAGGCCTTGCCCAAAATTAATTTGACAACCATCATATTTTGGGTAAGGCCTTAAGATTGTATCTAAATATAAATGATATGATCTCCAAATGAGGCTTCATGTATTTTACAGTGAATATTTGTAAGACAAAAACCAAAAATTTAAATACCGTGAGTACTGATATATACATATATATCCGACCGACAATGTAAATTGTAAATTGTATGTCAATGTATGTAGGATGTTAATTGTATTATAAACATTTTTTATTTCTAATTCAAGGGACCAAAAAAATGTCCTTATCATTCTTTCTCCTGTAGACAGAAGTCAAGAAATTGTATGTTGAGGTGATAATTATAAGCATACAGGTGCACATTCTATTTCATCATCTAAATTTTTATGTTATAGCAGTCATGGCATTGGGTCACAAATATTTGTATGATTTCTAATGTGATATTTTAGTTATATGATAGACAAATCGAACGCATGTTAGATAGCGAATTTTACACAGATTTAGCTTCTGAGTAATGTTACTCTGTGGCAATTCAGGTTGGTGTGTATTGGTCTTCACCCCCAAAATGGGAGAAACTTTTTTTGGCATTATTCAGCAATCATTCTGCCTAAAGTAGAACACAGGAGTAAAATGCTAGCAATTGCGCATGCTAACATCTTCAATTTACTTCAAAACAGTTATCGATAGAGAACATCTGGCAGTCAAAAAAAATGTTCAGAATGTTGCTTTAAAGATGGATATGGAATTCAAAGTGAAATATTTGTTTAAACTCAAAGGTTCACTGCATGTACACGTAAATCTGTTTGTATGAATAAAAGGAGATTTGGATATACCTGAATGAGACAGCAAACTAAACTCACAAAAAACCAAATGACATTGTCTGTCTAGATATGATTACTGTAAACCTAGACCAGGAATTTGGATGCTAATTGATAAGCATTTGATATTGATTTATATGAATTTGAATCACTTTCAGACTAATTCATTCTGGTCAGAGAACAAACCCAATGACAGGTGGTGATTTGGTAACATTTGGTACTAGATGTGGTACAAGAAATGGTGTGGAAATGCATGTATTTAGAGTAGAAACCCAACGAGACCTGGCATACTGGTCGAGAGCATTAGTCCAAGGATCACATGGAGCTGCAGTATTGATAAAAGAAGTTAGTTGTGGTAAGATATTCATGTACAAGTTTGTCACACTTACTCTTGATTCTATTTTAGAGGTCTTGACAGATTTTTAGACATATGTACTATATTCAGGAAAAGATTTGCCTCATAATTTCTGTCCTTTATTCAAAGTGCACTGTTGAAACAGACAACGAACTGATTTGTATCAAAATGATTTTAGCAAAAATGATTTAATTTACCAAAGACATATATTTAAAACTGGTAAATGTTAATATTGAAAAGGTTTTAAGTGAAAATTGATGATAAAAAACCCATGTTGTGTATACACAAGTACATGTGTGCACATGTGTGTAGGTGTGTAAGCATCAGAAAGCTTTCTAAACAATAAAAATAATATTTATTCAGTTTATCTTATATTATCATTTTAAGTTTTTACTTGATACAAAAAATGTGGAAATAATTATTTTAACTCCATGATGCTTGAAATTGTATACAGATAAACGTATTCTGTAGAAGATTAAGTTTTTTATCAGTGTTTTATTGCATTAATAAAGAGTATAGCGTGAATGTAAGTCTTCTGATGTTGCACACATAAAATGATGCACTGTCAATAAACAAAACTAAAAATGTATGAGTTATAAAGTCAGTTAATGGAATCCATATCCAAAGTACGAAGAAATGGTTTTTGTGTCCGTCATTGTCCAAAAGTACCTTTGATTTATTGCCTTGTTTTAAAAAAGGTTAAAAACAGGATTGAAAATTTTTTTTCGGCTGACTTCTTTTTAGAAGCCCTGGACCAAACTTATCCTTTTATTATTACCTGTACATGGCAGAGTAGAGGCCAGACTAAATCTTATATTACTATTATTGTGTGTATTTTTCAGTATGTATATGGCAGAATAGAAGTCAGTCTAAACCTTAAATTATTATTATATTTGTGGGTGTATTTTTCAGTATGTACATGGCAGAATCAAGAAGCCAGATTAAATCTACACTATGAAAGTGGTTTTACCTTATACCATGCAAATGACGATAAAATTTTCTGGTCTTTTCCTTATGAAAAGTTACGAATGTCGGGAGATGATGGCAACAGATTGATGTGGTTAGATTTTGGGACTGATGGAGAACATGTAAGTTTTTTATTTATACACATTTTAAACCAACACTAAGATATATGATAGGGTACAGTAAAAATAAATTTTTTCTAACACTAATTGGCCTTCAAAATCTGGTCTAGCTACTGAGGTTTGCTGTTCCCATACTTCTATCTTGTATGTCAATCTTTTCAGGTTTTGATTTGAGATTGTATTGACAAGACACACATATAAAACATATATACGGAAATTATCAACTGAACAATAACATGTTTAACCCCACAGAATCTACAACTTATAAAGTTTTGTGAAAGTTTATTGAGGAACAATGTATTGTATTCCTAAGGGTCTTTAATGTAATGGTATTGACAGCTAAAGCTTTATTGTAATTATTATTTAATGATTCTGTATTTTATTTTCTTCAGCAAGTCTAATAGTTATCCATGGCAAAATATAATAACTGTTTAAAATAATTCAATGAAATTTATCTGTGAAATTGAAATATATTTGAATAAGAAATATTTTGACAGCCTGTGTTTGGTTTATTAAAGATCTTAATTTGGTGATTAACATGATACATGCATACCACATGACATCCTAGTAGACATGATAATAAATTGCTCACATGTACTTGTTTAAGGTGGTACTTTTACTTTGATCCTTTGACAAAAATATAAAAATTTCAAAAAGAACTTGAACCACAAACTTCATCGGAAAAATTTCATTGGATATATAGCAGTTTGTCAAACACTAATTGTGATCATTGAGATGCTTCATATTTCCTTAACAATAGAACTTGATTAAAACGTTCAGGTGATTTTTACAGAGTTATCTCCCTGTGGTGTTATGTACCACCTTAAATTGAACCTATTTGTGTTTCAGGAATTAGATCTGCAGACCTGTCCAAAGCCTATTGTGTTTGTTCTACATACATTTTTGTCAGCAAAGGTCAATCGACTTGGATTGGTAGCCTGAAAACAGCTGATATTTGAAAACAGAAAGACAACGTTGTTATGTCTTTTGAAGAAAGGTTTTTAAAATTGATAAAGAGAAAAGCTTGAAATAGGAACATGTACATATTGCATGATGGTGTACTGTTGCTAAACAGATGTAACTAGATGCTATATGGCAGTCATTGCAAATAAAGGGTCAACAGTAATATAACAGCCTGCAGCAATATATTTTTTGTAATTATCAATTACTTTTTTTAAAAGTTATTTATATATATAAGAGGATCCATTTTAGAAATATATATTTTGTAACAGTCATTTTTAGGATTGCACGCCAAAAGAAAAAGTAGCTTAAGAATAAAAAAATAAATACTTAACTTGTTACTATAATACATAAGGAATTATATTTTTTTCTTCTGAAATTGTTCACCATTTTTTTGTTTCTTTTAATTTAACATTACAGATTTACAATAAAAAATATTTGTTGTCCAGATTTTAAATTGTCTTAAAATTGGTTTTTGACTCAGTAAAAATATTTATTCATGTTTTTTAAGAAACACCATATTTTTGTTCAGATTAATTTTTATAAATTTAGATAATTAAATGATATCAGTTCATTGTATGGTCTATTTATAAATCTTAGAAAAAGATTACTTTGTGTATCATTTAACTGAAGAAGACTATACATGTATGAACTACAAATGGTTGTTTGAAGTCATGTTCTACAAATTTTGTTTTTTTAAAAACCAATTATGAATCCATGTGTTTTGTAAGTTTAGATTTGTTATGTATAACATATATTATTTCTTGCCATATAATGATCCATTTTTAAAAAAGATTATTTTGGTCTCCAATGCTATTTATAGATATTTTATTTATATTTGTTATAGTTATTTTAGTTTTCTATTTTTATGTTTTATGTTATTTTATGTAGATACTAAGCATTTAAATAAGGTTGTAGATATAGTTATATTTATTTGATATTGATACTAGAGCTTGAATTATTCACTTTTAATATAATTGGGGAAAAAAGATCGTACCAAATCGATGTTATGATCATTGGATTTTGCAACCAATTTTTGAAAGATAACTTTGCATTGAAAAGTTACATCTTTATGTTGTCCAGAAAAACATGGCAATATTTTACTCGTTTTCACTTCTTGGCATAAACTTAAGGAAATTTCATAAAACAGTATGTCACATATCATCACAACCTTCATGTGACCTCAAAAAATGATTTACGGAAAATCTTTTGTCCCAAAAATCTTTTTTTTTATATATTCTTTCATATATGCTGTTGATACTTGACACACGGATGCAGCATCTCAAAAGAATGTGTTGCATACCATGGAAAATAACATTTGATCAATATATGGCCACCACAAAACCTTGATCAATATATGGCCACCACAAAACCTTGATCAATATATGGCCACCACAAAACCTTGATCAATATATGGCCACCACAAAACCTTGATCAATATATGGCCACCACAAAACCATATATATTCTTGCTTGCTATGGCAAGACCTTTTAATGTGACTAAGGGTTTCCCCTTGGTGGTCATGTGCCAACCCCTCATATAATAAATTGATAAACATCTCAACATTGGTTCAAATCCTCACCCCTAATCCACATATAGTCTTATTTGATAAGATTTTACGGGTTCACCATAGGTTTCACCATCCTGCCTCCTTCATATAATTAATTATATTCATTAATTTTCATGATAAGACCCTTACAATACACCAAAGTCTTTGTCACCTGAAGTCTTCCCAGCCCTTATATAGTAAATTGTTGAATATATCAAAACCTGTTCCTATCCCCATCCGTAAACCATATATATTCTGAACTGCCATGACAAGACCTTTTAAGTGCAACATACATTTCGTCTGGGCATGGGGCTTGGGTCATGTTTTTGTCCATTTGAACCGTTCCATCTTTTTTTCTCAAGGCACTCTGTAAGAGTTTCGTGTTTATTAGAAAGTAAGAGAATATCACAAACTGTAGCTTTAAAACAAGGAAATGCATTGTTATGCCCCACCTACGATAGTGAAAGGGGCATTATGTTTTCTGGTCTGTGCGTCCGTTCGTTCGTCCGTCCATCCGTCTGTCCTGCTTCAGGTTACTGTAAATTCAGAAATTATTGCGTGCATTTATTATTGCGATTTTTGAAGAATGGACTAAAATGAGAGATTAATTATTGCGATTTCAGGAAAATCTTCATACAGATATTATTATCAGATATCAGAATGCGAGTTCTTATTACTGCAATCTTCGTCCACTAGCATTATTCGCATTAATAAAAACCGCTGAATAATTTCTGAATTTACAGTAAAGATTTTGGTCAGGGTAGTTTTTGATGAAGTTGAAGTCCAATCAACTTGAAACTTAGTACACATGTTCCCTATGATATGATCTTTCTAATTTTAATGCCAAATTAGAGTTTTGACCCCAATTTCACGGTCCACAGAACATAGAAAATGATAGTGCGAGTGGGGCATCCATGTACTATGGACACATTCTTGTTTATTATATTATTGTGAAAATGCATTTTGAAAAATTTATGTTAGTCAGAGTGTAAACACATTCTATTTATAGAAAATTCTAGTCATAATCTATCAAGAATTTTCAAATTATTTTGGGATTATATAATGTTTTCATAATGTTTAGACTAAGGCTTGAAAGATTGTATTTGGAAGATTTAGGTTTGACAGATTGTAATTTATAGAAATTAATGTTTAATTATGTATATACAAATTTTGTAGTCAATTAAATTATGTATGAATTTACTGAACAAAAGTGGTTAAAAACTTGTTTGGAGGTTGTTTTTTTTATAGTTTGTTTAAATTTATTTCCAAAATTTTACTTTTTCCCTGTATGTTTGAATCCTCATTGTTTAAGAAATGTTTCTGTGTTACAGGGCCATTTAAAGTCTTTAATCCATTATATTTCTTTAGTACTTGTTTTTATAGATATCTTTGGATGTTTGAATGTCCCTTTGGTATCCTTTGCCTCTCTTTAAAACACATTTGGGAATTTTTCTAAAAATATTTTCTGTAAAGTAAATTGGAAGGCTATTGTTTTAAATGTTTATATACTTTAAAGTGAATGTTTTTAGAGTCTGTCTGAGTAAATACAAGGCAAATCACAATAGCTTTTTTATTTCTGATATTTGAGAATGATTGTTAACAACATATATCTATTTGAACATTTCTTTATCAAAAGTTCTCTGTCAAAAGAGATGTTCAATACTAAAAGTAAAGAAAAAATATAGGTAAAGTAAAAATTATTTATAAAAAAAGGTGAATGTTAGTTTGATCATGTTAAAATGTTATCAACAAGTTTTAAAAAGAATATAAAGTGAAAGTTGATAGTTTTCATTCAGGAAAAATGTAATTCACAACATAACTATATGATTTCATTGTAAATGTTTAGCCTCAAGTTATAGTTGTATGATAGTAGACAGTTAAGCTGCATCTCTCCGGTGACAGAAATGGCATTGTAATATAGATTTTGTAAAATTTCAATTGATTGTAGAGTCATGTAGATGAGGATATCTATGTAGATTGTCTTTCTATTCATATTTTTTGTAGTCATATAATAGTTTTTATAATGTTATTAATAATCATATTCAATGAAAGTTATCCTTTTCAATTAGTGTAAGAAATACATGAATAATTTTGTTATATTTTGTAAAATGATTCAATTTTTATAAAGGTCTTGTGACCAGCATCTTTAAACATGCTATATATGTTGCTAACAATTAGTTTAAATTATTATTTTTTTGTTAATTCTACAAGTCGATAGGTCCGAATAAAATCATAGAAGTTATACCAAGAAGATTCAATTCCCCTGTTACCAAGTGGCCAGGGGGCACATGCTTTAACCTATTTCTATTGTTGGTTCATTCTGAAGTACAAATATAACATATTCTTTTTTGCCATGTAACATATGCTGAAATGATTTTAAGTGTGTAGTTTTGCAATTATAGGTTACAAAATGTATGTGCTTTTAGCTCTTTTTGACATCATTCTGATCGAATTATGGAATCTTGGACTTCAAAAAAATGTTAAAATCTTTTTCAGACATTTTTGTTTTACCTGCACATAATGAGCTGATTTTTGGAATGTAATTGTATTAAATGGTACTTAACAAAAAGATTTTATTTTCATCTAATACATTTACTTTAGACATAGATAATTATTTGCTATGGGCAGTGCATGGCTGCTAACTATTTCCATTTCTGTAAATATTACAATTAAGCCTCCTCAAAATTACATTGTTATCAATAGTCTCAATACTGACCCATTACTGTTACACCCAGTAAAACAAAAGAAACATACTTTATAAGGAATACACAACTTGAAATTGGAATTCGTTCTTGCAATGCCATAATTTATGAGCATTGCGGTCTTGACAATTTTCAAGTCTGCCTGTTTCTTTAACATACAATGTTTTACCCAGACTTAAATGGTGCACATACTTTAAATAAATTAGTGCAAATGACTAGTGTTTGAATTGAGGCTGCAATAGACTTTCTATGTTTGAAACCCCTTAATAGTTTTATGGAGAAAGAATATAGATAAAATAAATATTGTGGATTCATTATTATTTATTGGGGACTAATTCATTTTGTTGATTACATTGATAAAGATTAACTACAAAGTTAGGTGTTCAAAGAAATGAAAATTTTCAATAGACTTGTCTTGAAAATATCCTAGAAAATACCAATTTTCCACAAACCACAAAAAATTGTAACCAGGACAATAAATAAATCCACAATATTCCATAGATAGGAGGTTATAAATAAGTGTGTTTGTGTGATTTAGTATCTTTCCACTGCCTGTTTGATGTTGTCAATAATTATTATGTGATATTAAAGCTAGTCTGCTTTTAATGTTTATTATAATTTAGAAAAGTTGCTTTAAATGGTTTAGTATTTATTAATATAGGTTTTGAAAGAAGTTTTCAGTATTCAGTATTGAATTTATAAATATGACAATCTGCTGAAAAAAAAGAAAAAGAATATGCAAGTACCTTTAAATTCTCAATGTATGGTGCTACGAAATTGTAATAGAAAACTCATATTCCAAACCTGTTGTTATCTCTCCTGCAATGACCCATAGTCAGTGTACTACTATATAGGATCATTGACCACCCATGCAAGTCTAACATATTTGGTGAACTGTACACATCTGGTATGGTTGTAAGGTTCAGATCTTTTAGATTGTGTGTTCTGGTCTGTTAAGGACATTTGCAGTGGAGGTTCTTCAGTACAATATCATAAAGTTATATATATTAAATATATTTACAAAAATTTAAACTCACTGTTTAGTTTTCAGTGCATCTTTCAGAGAAAACATAAATGATGCTGATTTCCATGTTTATTGGTACAGTCAAGTTAATACAATCAAGCTTTAACTATAACCATTTATGATATTATTTAAACCATTTATATTAGCTTTAGGACAAAGTATTAAATGGACATTGTTCAAGAAGTAGTGAAATGCAGAAAAAAGTAGATCTTGATACGTATATGTTTGAAACTATTCATGCCTTAGAAGAATATACATTGAAATAACAAAAAGAAGACAGTTTAAAGGAAAAAAAAGTTTAAAATGTTGGGAAATGCAAACACCAATTATTCAGGAGAATGATTTTTCAAAAAATATCTTTAATTAGATTGGAATGAAATAAAAGTTTCAAATATGTTATATAGTTTTTCTCATCGATTGTTTTTAGAACGGTTTTGCATTGTAAAATTGAATGTTTTAGAATTCTGCATTGTATAAGTGTTATTTGTATCTGTGAATATATACTATATATAGACTTCAATTAAAGGAGAAGATGTGAAAAAGCGTTTTTTTTTGGTATCTTGATATAATAATCCCTAAGTATTATAAATCTATCATATAATATCCTTTTGATTTTGCAAGATAATTAGTTTGTCAGACATCAACACTAAAGCATTTGAATTTTCACTTTCTTATTTGCTTTTGATGTTATCAAACCTCTTGACACATATATACATTCTTTCAAAAATTCTGATCTTGAGATCTCATAAATTTTGATTTGTGTACTAGCCTAACCAGAGATATTTCACTTTTAGAAGAAAGGAAAAAGAAACACTGTTAGATATGTCAATTAGGTTTTGAAAACTATTTTGTTATAATGTTATAATGGCATCACAGATGAAATTTCTTCACTCTGTATTTATAAGAAAAAATAATTAGAATAAACATAATTTTAAAAGGGTTCATGTATTTTACTACATATTCAAGTTTGGTGCCAAATAATAGATCTAGTCGAACCTCTTCCTTTTTTTTTTTAATTGAAATTGGTAAGAAAAAATAAAAAAATTCCTTATGACAAACTGTGTTGTGTAAAAGTATTTTCTATATTTATTTCACAATATTAGAAAGAATTACTACTGCTAATATATGTATGTGGTGGATTATATTTTTTAGACATGTTGAATGTTTTTTTTTATATATTGTTTACCTTATTTACTTTTGAAAAAAACCCATGTAATTTAAAAAGTTTCCCCCCTTTTAATTTACAAAAATTATCTCTTTGTGTCAAAGATGTCTTGAATAAAATTTTGATGAGAGATTTATGTTGATAAAAAATCTTAAGTGAAAAAAATGCTTATTTATATATATTTTTTAACAAAAAGAATGTATGTGAAAGAAGAATTAATTTTATTCTCTCAATAACATATTGAATGTAAATTTATCAGATTTTTGATTCATGTAATTTCTTCCACTTATTTTTCATTTTCTTTTGAAGAAAAAAGGATTTAAGTTTTTTGCCAATCATGACATTATTATTGAAAAAAAACCAATTAAAGACTATATTACTACAATGATAGCAATTTTCATTTTGCTAATCACATAAAAGTTGAAAGTTCAAAATTGTAGTTTCAATTACAACATAATGCAGACCAAGAAAGATAATGCTTAGTAGAAGTAGTTGGTGTAAACAAGATTTGTGAGTGTACTTGCATTCTCAGTTATATGAGAAATCTTTGATGTTGTAATCCCTATTTATATTCTGTTATTGTGCAGATTTCATATTTTGAAAATGATATGATATTACCTAATATGATAATTTTAAGAATTGAAAATGTGTTTTTTAGTTATATATTACAGTTTAACTTGGCTTAGCTTAAACAAGATGTAGTATCATTGCCAAGGAAACAACTCTCCACCAGAGACAAAATGACGTAGAAGGTTAGCAATTATAGGTCACCATAGGGCTTTGATTATCCCTATTATGCTAAGCATGAATGGCTTTCGTTTCCATTGGACTGAATCATGTATAGAACTATGTATACATAATCCCTGCTTAGTTAGTTTAAAATTGGTCAAATATTTTCAGAAAAGAATTTAAAAATGTCATTTCCTAATAGTTTGAATTGCAACCATGGGTGACCAATGTCACAATATATATACCACATGGCAATTGTATGCAGTTAAGCTAAACACAACTGACAAATACAAATATATAGAAGTCACCAATTATATTTCAAAGGAAAAGAAAGGTTACAAAAATGAAACTTATTAAAAACAGAATGCAGTCCTGTGCTGTACAGAAAAGTTCTCTGTGTGAATAAATGGAGATGTGGGTTAAATGTCAAGGAGGTCAACCAATTGCAAACAACAGAAAATCGCAAGACATCTAGAGGTCATTATACTGTCTTCAACAGTAGTGTTTAAAACAGGGTTGGTAAAATTGTGAAAGATTGACATTTTCATCACATTTTCTTAACCTTTTTAAGGTCCCCTTGCAAACAGTGTCTTTTTAGTTATTGACATCACTTGGCGTTCATCATCTGTCATTGTCTGTCCTCATCTGTTAATTTTAATAGAAATATTCTCCTCTGAAACTACTGAGTCGGTACTGGTCTTGTATAGGTAGAAGCTGTTAAAGGCAAAACTGATCAGCAGTACAAGATCTACAAAAATGCCAGTATGGCCGAATCCATTGAATGAGTCTTCAAGGAGTTATTGCCCTTAAATTACGATTTGTGTGTAGCCTCGCGGCGTCGGCGTCAGGAATGTATTTAAATTTGTGGTTTCATCACTTTAAGTGGAATCACTAATGGTAGGCCAATGCTATTTGGTATGCAGTAATTATTCGCACAGCATTTCCCTGGAGATTATTTGACCCCGCCCCTAAGTCATGGTTTATTGACTTTGAAACTCTTCGTTTATATGTTAAAGTTTGTGATAAGTCAGATTAGGTCCTTTTTATACGCCCGTTTACGGGACGTAATATGGTAAACCGTTGTCCGTCCGTCGTCAACATGTCGGACAATAGGTTAGTTCTCTCCGTAAAATATTCAGTATGCCTTCGGAATATACAAATATTAACGGTCGGTATGAGCTAGTGATGCCCTTGAACTTGAACGTTTCGGTTTCCGGTTTGTCGAACGTCGACATACGGTGCCAGTTGAAAATGGTATTAAACGTCTGAAATCGGGTCTTGATGGAAACATATTTCAAACTCATTGATTCTTGATTTGATAACGTGGAAATATGCTTATCAACACGTAGAAAAATAGATTTTCCATTTCATCTTCTATTATATATGGATAGCCGACCTCTGAATGGATAAAAAACAAGTGCATGTGGCTTCCCAAATATTCCGTTCCATCGTTCGTTTGACGTTATATCCATGAACCAGGAAATGTACGGGTTAAAAGGGCGACACTTAATTTGCCAATTGTTCTAGAAAAAAATGTTTTGCCATAATTAGTCACTGACCATTCATCTTTTGTGATTTGAATATTTAAATGGTGTTGTTTCTTTGTTTGGTTTTAGAGGTGTTACACTATTTGTTTCATATTTTTACAGAAGGGAAGTAAGAAAATAGTTTGTTCTTAGCATTGAAATAAGCAACAACAAAAAAATGATAAAAGCAGTATACTTTTTATAAAAAAATGGTTGTTCTAAGGGTAAAAAAAAACCACTCTCCTCACCATTTTTAACTGGTATATGGTAGGTTTCTTAGTCCCAATAATTATATAATTATGAAGCCTATTCTTGTTTTGAAGTATCCCACCTAGACAATTATGAAGTAGTTCTTTCAACTTCCAAACCTTATTACAGTGCATTATTTTTTTATTATTCTATTTTATGTATGCTTATCAAAAAATGATCTTGTTCCCTTCTCTCGTTTGTCAAACCTGTAAAATAACGGGCGGGTACCAGTCTAGTCGGACAATAACTCAAAAACGCTTTAACCAATTTGTATGAAACTCTTGTGAATTGTTTATATCTATTGACATGAGCTCCCTTTCGATTTTTATAAATTTTTGATTTTACGTTTCCGAGTTATGGGGTTTTATTCATTAGAAAAGCGGTTTTTTTCCAGTTTTCGGACAATAACTCAAAAGTGCTTCGAACAGTTTTCATGAAACTTTGGTGACTGGTTTATATCTATAAAGATAACCTCCGTTAGTTTTTTAATAAATTTCTGATATGACATTGATGAGTTATGGAACTTTATTTTTTGAAAAAGCGACGGGCGTATCTTGGGTAAATATATGATAAGTCAATGGTATGCAGTTACAGTATAAGCATTTAGACGTTTCATTTCCATAGAGATTATATGATCCCGCCCCTTCTCATGGTTCATTGACTTAGAAACTTTTACATACTTTACATGTTAAAGTTTGTGTTTCGGTCAGTTTAAATGGAACCACCTATGATAGGTCAACGGTATTTGGTATACAGTTGTATTAGCATTGTTATTTCCCATTTCATCCAAGGCTTTTTGGCCCTGTACCTTCAGCCATGATTCATTGAATTTAAATGTTTTGCATAGCTTATATAATATAGTATTGCGGTTTTATTGTCAACATTTGCATTATAATATCAATATTATATAAAGGAGAGATATATCTCTGTGTCAACAGTTTATTGACTAATTTGAGTGTTTTTGCCTATTATCTCGAATACTATTATAGATTATTGTAGAAACTGTAAAAAGCTAAAATAACCAGAAATTCTAGATCTACAATAATACCAAAATAATTGGATGGCTCATTTAGGAGTTGTAGCCTTAAACTACGATGTATGACTAATTTTCGTGTCCATTTTGTTCTTTTGCAAAGACCTTCTTCTCTGAATCTTCTGCCCCAATTTCCACAATGATCCTTAGTGTATTAGGTAAAATGTTTGTGCTTTTCTCTCTCGGTCAATCAACAAACATGACCAACATGGCTAAAATAGAACATAAGAAAATGCATTAATTGTCTTACATCTTGAAAACCATAATATAAAGAGAAATTCTGACAAGGGAACAAATTCTCATAATTTTAAGATCTACCTAGTACTTTCTAATGCATCGAAATTACCAGATGACTCATTATGGATTTATTGCCTTCAAATGAAGATTTTTGGCTAATTTTCATATTTTTATAAAAATACGAAGATGTGGTATGATTGCCAATGAGACAACTCTCCACAAGAGACTAAATGACACAGAAATTAACAACTATAGGTCCCGTTACGGCCTTCAACAATGAGCAAAACCCATACCGCATAGTCAGCTATAAAAGGCCCCGAAAAGACAGATGTAAAACAATTCAAACGAGAAAACTAACGGCATAACTTATGTACAAAATAATGGAAGAAAAACAAATATGATACACAGCAACAAACGACAACCACTGAATTACAGGCTCCTGACTTGGGACAGGCACATACAGAATGTGGCGGGGTTAAACTAGCTTGCTGGCGCCAAACCCTCCCCCTAACCTGGGACAGTGGTGTAACAGTACAACATAAGAACAAACTATAAAAATCAGTTGAAAAGGGCTTAACTCATCAGATGGATACAAATAGAAATATATCTAACAAAATCACAGAGTGGACGTGGCAGGGTACTTATATATCCCCAAAACAAAAATACACTAAGTACAGATCTGATAGTACTCGTAGTTACTGACAGCTAGTTCAAAAGCCAATAACAAATAATAAAAAAAATAATGCATCTAAAACTTAAATATCAATCATAAAATTGAGAATGGAAGTACACATCTAACATCCAATGGGTTAAGTGTAAAGACGTCATTTACAGTCAGAGAAAAACATGACCTTGTGTTGCCTGTTATATCAAAAACCAATATTAGATAGGAAAAAACTGTTAAAAGCAAAAATTAACAGTAATACAAGATCTAAAAAAAATGCCTATATGACCAAAACCATCGAAAGACTCCTGAAGGAATAATTGCTTTTTAAATGAATATTTTTACTAATTTTAGTGCTTTTTCTGTTATCTCGAAAGATATAATAGATACGAGAAGGTAGAAACTGTAAATTGTAAATATAATAAGAAATACAAGATCTCAAAAATGCCAATACAACCGAAACAATTGGATCGCGCCTTGAGGAGTTATAGCCTTAAACGACGATTTTTGACCAGTTGTCGTGTCTGTCGTTTTAACAGAAGCTTGGTCCCGCTGAAATGATTAGCAAAATTATTTTTTGGTCCACATAGTTTGATTTAACACACATAACCTTGTTTCTTTGTTTCAATATTTAAGTGATAAATTGCCAGAAAAGCAAAACAGGCTCCAGAGAACCTCTTGTTTGAAATAAAATATCAACTATCTACTTTGCGCTCCGATACATTTTTTAAATGCAATTGTATTACTTTTCCTAAAAGTTAAATTTTCTATTGAAACCATAAGCATTAGCCATTTTCCACTTTCTTAAAAGTGTTTTTCTGGAGGGGGAAAAGTCGAACGATCTTGCGTTAAGACTTTTCTGTCTGCGATGATACACATATTGATTGATCTATTGTAACTGCTTTATATATTTCATGTAAAGTTAAGACGAAAGACCAAAATAAATAAGTTCAAAAACGATTTCGCCTAAGAACATTAATTTTGAGGAAAACTAATAAACTAACTGGTTAACTTGAACTTGAACAATCTGAACATTGTTAGGGTATGTTCACAATTAGACACTGTCAACCGAGATTTATTTTTTATGACTATTTACTGATGAATCTGCAAATTGTTACCCGTTGAATCATATGTTAGAGTATAATGTCCCCCTAGAATTAACCAACAACAAACTTTCATTTTAACATGATCTACAATAAAAGTAATAG